AAGGCGGAGAGGGGGTGGGGTTTTAAGTGGAGGGGTCAAGCTGCTGTTGTGGGGTCGATCTTGGTTCTGATTACTCTAAACCTATATCTGTACAACCATGTGCTTTAAAAGTGTGTTTTTGTGTGTTTGCCAGCATCAAATTCATAACAAGTAAGAGCAGTTTGACATACTTGTGTGTTTGAAAGAGAGAGAGTAAAGCTGACTCCTTTAAGGCCACCTGAAGCTGAACTACACTAATTGTACCCTGAAATGTTTGGCTGTGGGTTTCTGTTGGAGAGAGGGAGTGTGTGTGTTTTCCTTGCTACAGTAGCATCTCTCACACTTTCCCTGGGTGAAAAAAAATAAATCAGTTCACACATTTGGTGTCTGTAACAACACAGTCCCATTCTTATTTTAATTTTTTAAAGATTTATTTAGCTTGGTTTTTTTTGCCCTTTATTGTAGAGATAGGACAATGGGTACAGTTGGAAATCAGGGACAGAGCGAGTGGGGAATGACACATGGAAAAGGAGCCCCCGGTCGGACCCAAACCCGGGGCTCCCATCCAAAGGACCAAAGCCTCCGCACATGGGGTGCATCCCCAACCACTTGGCAACCAGCGCCCAAACTCAGTCTCATTCTTGATATAATGTGTTGTTCACATGAAGCCTGTTTAGCGTGTGCGTGTGTGTGTGTTCTTATGTGCATTTTTTTGACTGTTCATACATTTGTATCTGTTGTGTATCTAACTCTTAATATGTGACACAATGTGGAGGCCTCCCACCCTGACTGTGCGTTCATTATTATGCTGTCTGTAGTATGCGCCTGACGAGTACAGCGGCATGGTTCAGATGAGCGAACAGGCCAGGAGTCTGATTCAGCCCAAAGAATGGCTCTGTCTTTAGTGGCTCCCACACAGGTAAGAAGAGGCTGCAGAACAGTGGAGAACAGGGTGGACAGAGACGGCATTTTCTACACATTAATAACTTATCTGAATTACTAACTTATATTTAAGGCTAATGCCAATATGCATGAGTGAACCTGTACCAAACTACCCAGAAAACACCAAGTAGGTCATATGATGGTACACACATTAATGTACAGTTGAATATTATTTTAAGGAAAGGAGCTTTTTCAAAAGTCAGACTTTAGACTTTAAAAACATTTATAAAACATTACCATATAAATGTAGAGGCTGCATGCCCGTCTTTGAAAATGTTAATTTATCCAGAAGTGAAACAACACAGTTGAAGACTGTACTTAAACCTGAACATCTAAACCCATGGTTAACATCCATATAAGCGAGACCACTAACTCAAATCACATCTCAAAGTGTCCAGTTTAGCGGGGAAAAAAAGGCCATAAATACACAAGTTAATTTTTGCTGTTGTAATGTGCAACTCTTGCAGTAACTTTAAATGTCACACCTTATTCTGCCACCTCTAAATAACTTGTGGGACATAAAATGGAAAAAAAAAAGATTCCAGTGAAGAAAAGTTTCTTTAGCATTTGAACAAATCCCCATAATGCACTTTTTCCTCATTATGCAGTTGATAGATTATACTTTTATAAACATATCTTAATAGAAATGCCCAATCTTGCCATCATGGTTCTGAGCTTTTAATCCGGCATGTTGGCTCGCTTTCTCAAACACATCTGCGTCTTATCTGCTGTCTCACCTGAAGGCCTGTTAGGAGTGCTGGACTTCTGACACACTCGCTTTGACATATGTTCTAAATATATCAACATTCCTAATGAAAGCATTCACTCAAAAGGCCAAGCACTACTCACTGATCTGCACAGAATAACATCAAGTAGCTTCATGTTGACTCTGTTATTATAAGTGAATCATTCAGGATATCGATCATCTAAAAACTGTAGCATCAGTCTTCAGCACTCCTATTTCAAGTCCTGTCACTTAGGACCTACTTTAATACTTTGATCTTTCCAAGTTAACGCTTCTCTGCTTTCATTACCCCACCTCTCTCCTGCTCTGACATGTAATCCTCTAACATGTAGACTTAATGGTTTGTACTGCTTTGTATGCAAATGGGGTCAGGGGTATTTCATAAATGTAGGTCTTCCGAAAACTCATTGTTATGCATCAAACTTGATCTTGATGCATGATGTGAAAGCATGTAAACTAACAGATAATCAATGAGCGTCGACAAAACTCTTCTCGTGGCTTTCAGGTCCTCTGGGAACAGCATGTGCTCTGCTTCTTTTTTTTTTCTCTCTTAGCTCTGCCCATTTATCTCTTTTCTTTTTTTCTACCTAACTGGACCGGTTTGATGAGTCTTCTTTTCCAGGGATTGTTGATCCTATGCATGGTGTACTCGCCCTGGTGTTTAAAGTGCAGCTCCATCAGATAACACTGTTAGTCTCATGTGTTTCATTCTTCTCTTTTGTTTTGTCCTTCAGCTGCAGCCAGACGCTGTTCTCATCTTGTACAACTTCAGTGGGCAGTGCAGCGGTGAGGCCTTGATCACCTTCCCTAGTGAGGAGATAGCAAGGCAAGCTGTAGCAGAGCGCTCCAACCATCCCTTCTACGGCCAGCAGGTCCACCTGATCTTCTGTAACTGACCAAGAGCCCTTCATTTGTCTTCTCCTCCCTCACTTTTACCTCCTGTTGCAGCAGCCATTTATCCGTACAGTGCCATTAAAACAGCTGCTGAACCTCCCCCTTTTCCATCATCTGTCATTTATTGAAGATTGTGACCCTGCTGGCCCTGACACTCCTGAAGCGACTTGTGTAGTTTGGACATCTACTGAAGTCGTCATAAAAGCTTAATTTTCGAATGAATGCCTCTGTGGATGTCAAGCTACAGCATTTCTTTGTGGAAATGAGATGGTGTGGAGCCTGGACAAACCTGTATCACTGGCTCTGCAGAGCCAAATCTGCATGTATATTTATATTCTCTATATATGAACCTGTACAGAAGTTCTTCCTGAAATGCTTGAGGCTATACAAACCACTTCTGCCTTACGACCTCTTCTTTATATTTCTGAATTTGACTCTTAACCACTTCGAGATTTAACTTTTCCTTCAGCATTTATGATCCTTTGTGATACCTCTATGCAAAGAAAGATGTATGTTAATGTGAATGCACACATTTATTAACTTTATGGCCTTGAGCAGTGCTGTGGCTCCAGTTTTAAAAAAGAAAAAGAAAAAAAAACTATAGAGAAATATGAGGCTTAAAAAAAAAAAAAAAGAAATCTCATACAGCATTGGACTTGGCTGTCATGGATTAATTTAAACTGACTATTATTTAAAACTACAGCAACACCACAGATGAGCCAGCGTACCAACTCATCTGTTACTTTATTCTTTAGGTAAATAAAAAACCATTTGTGAGACTTATTTGATGTCATCCAATTTATACCTTCTTCAAGCACTACAGGTTAATTTGCTTCGATCAATGCAAGTGTCTTTAAAAAAGAAAATTGAAAAATAGAGTTGAATTAAATATCCTTACAGTTGATTCATTTGTATGTAAAAAAAGACTCAGGCGTATCCTCGTGTAATGATCAGCTAATAGATGTCTTCTTTTGTTGTTTCCAGACTATTTATGATCAGTCTGTAGCTTGCCTTATTTCTTGCTTTAGACCGGAGTACTGTGTAAAAACTGCATGAGCTTTTTTTCCCTTTGACAGGCCTGCTGACAGCTGGTGTAGTTTTTTTCCCCCATTTACTGTGCCTACATTACCCAGAGTGCAATACTGGCCAAAAACAAGGCTGTGTCAACCTCTGGTGGCAACAGGAGGTGTTTCTTTCTTTTGCAAGTTTGACACTTGAATGAATTTAGATCTGTGTATAGGACTGTAAACAATAAAGATGTTGACAAAGAACCATTTTTCTCAGTCTTCTTTTAAATAGATGCATTCAGACAATTTGCCTGAGACTAATATACATTTTCTGTTTATAAATAAAAAGAGCATGTAATGTGTTAAGAATTTATTTTTATTTGGCAGAAAGATGTTTGATGGCATGAAAGCAGGCCAGACAGAAATATAAATCGAGAGGAGGAAGATTTTTTGTCTTTAAGACAAAAATGGAAGTGCTTTTGCAGAAAAATGCAAAATATAAATTGAAATACAACCGAGAATAAAATTAAGAGAATTATATTCTCAATATTTGGACTTTTTTTTTTCTTCTAAATATTTATTTTTGGTCTTTTTATGCCTTTACTTTAGAGACAGGACAGTGGACAGTGCCAGAAACCAGGGACGAGTGGGGAACCACATGCAGGAAAGCAGCCACAGGCCGCCCACTTGGAGGACCAAAGTCTCCGCACATGGGCCGCACATACCAACCACTAGGCCACAGGCATCCCTTATTTCAACTTTTTCTCATAAAAAGTGCATAAAGTGAAAAAAAAATCTTCCTCCTACCATTATTTATTTCTCACATCCGGCCCTTATCCTCTGGCAATAGCTCAGTCTGTAGGGACGGTTAGAGTCCCGACACAGACCAAGTCCAGAAATTGGTCTGGTAGCTGGAGAGGTGCCAGACCACTTCCTGAGCACTGCCCCTCACCAGCTCAGGAGTGCCCGCTGTGGGCAGCCTCACTCTGGGACCTCTCCATTAATACATGTCCACAGGATCCTGTTTGTGTATTACGGCCTGTGTGTGTGTAGCATGTTCAGTAGACAGACAGTAAAAATTAATTTCCCCTCGAGGGATAAATAAAGTATAAATTATTATTATTATGATGATGGCCTTATTCTTTTTATAACTATTACAACTAGAGGGTGCCTATGCACACATTCCTTAATATAGATTAGCTCTGCATATATGAAGCGTATCTCTTTCATCGACGTAAACTGAGCTGACAATAATCAGAACTCCATCTTTCACTGACATAGAGGAGAAACATTAGTACATCCATCTTAAAGCAAGGCGTCTATGTTTACATCAGCTACGATCCTCTATATTTAATCAATGAGTTGTTTACATGGGTTGGGTGGAGTTAGGAAAAGGCAGAAGACATTCAAAAAGAAAGTCACAGACCCGTAGGTGAGTTTTCTGTTTTATTGATATATACTACTTTAGAGCCTACATTATAAGCAAGGTATTCCCTTTGAATAATTTCAAAAAGCACTGCAGTCTTAAAAATTACAAAAATTTTAACATACAAAATATACAGGAAATGACAACACAAGGCTCGGTAAACATCAGCTAAACCTGTATTTCCCTTTTATTTTACAAAACATATATATAGATGTGTGAATATATATATATATATATATATGTATGTGGGTGTGTTTGAACATCTATAGATATCAAAATATCAATACATATTCAACACCCATACATGTCCCCAACCTTTTAGGAATGACATCCATTTCAAAGTATCAAAAATAGAGCAGAAGAGTCTCTGTTGCTTTATTGTTATGTAAAGGGGGAACGTCTTGTTCGGTCTTTGGTTGTGACAGAAGAGGACGGCAGCCAGAGTTTCATGGTGATGCTGGTTTTGTTGTTTCTCTCGATGACTCGAGTCTTTCAGGCTGCAGAACCAGCTTTATATGAACAAAAGTCAACTCCCTTCCCCCATCCCCGTGCCTCCCCTCCAAACAAGCTAAAGTAATAAAGGTAACTGACTTGCATCTTTGTCATGGAAAAATAAATCAACCCAGAAAAGCATACAGACACACTGAAAAACTGTTTTTCAAACAAGAGTTAAGGCATCCTAATAGTTTACAAAGTGACATGATTCTCTCACTATCTGAATGTTTTATTTCTTTCTTCTCTGTGAAGTTCAGAAACAACATAAAAGGTTCTAATCTCTTTTTTAATGTTGTATCTCACATTTACTGCTGTTATAGCTTGCATAGCCTAAATACATGTGTGTGCTTCTGTTGTTGAAAATAACACTCTTATAATTCCTGTCTTCTGTACAGCATATTTGGTTCAAACACCATCCGTACTCACACACTCCTGAACTCATGAAGATGCTTGCAGTGTGTCCTTGACAAGGCAGATTGGCTGATGAACAACTCCAGGATGCTAACAGAACCAATCAACAAGTCTACAGTCTACTTCTAGAGGCATCAAGGTCTTTTTTTCTTTTTTCTCATTTTAAAAGGCATTAGGCAGAATTTTAATGCATAGTAGAATCTTTTTCACCTGGACACTGACTTCAAACAGTCATTTGCAATGCTCCTCACACACAGGAGGAGCGTCATTGTCGAGCTTAAGGCAACAAAAAAAATAAAAAAAATAAGCAGATGCAAATGTTCACACCAGAACCTGCATCAGTCTGTTCACATCCACACAATCTGACGAGAAACCTACCGGAAAACACTCTTTGCATGTGTGTCAGATCAGGGATCGAATGAAAACATTGTCATGAAGAGACACTCAGGGAGAAGTGTCTGACAGTGTTCAATAAAGACAGGGGGAATACGTAAATAAAACCTGTAATACTTTTAACTTTTGTTACATTTTCTTTTTAATATCCGCTGCTGCTGATGCTATCACAGGTGTGGTGCCAGCAGAGACACAAGGCACACGAAGGGGCCCCTGGACAATTTGGGATGTTATGCATAAGAGAAGAAACGTCAGGAGTGACACATATCTTATCGTCGCATATCTTTGAATGAAAATGTTTAAGAGGGCTTACTCAGTCATGAACCCCCACTCCCCCCCAACCCCACCCCCCTCCAGGAGTCATGAAAAAATCAGATCAACACTGATCAAGTCGGAGGTCTGTAAAAAAAACAAACAGCTGTGCAAAAAAAACAACACAACAATACAAAAAAGCTTTTGCTATCATTCAAAGCTGCTAAGTATTAATAAGGCATTTGTTCAGCTTGAAGAAGAAAAACATAGTAGGGCTAAGGGGGGGGGGGGGTATCATTTACAGATAACTACATGGCTGCAGGGTTGCTGAAAGTTGTGGAATGTTGCAGGTTGCAAATCCATGTCCAGCACCAGAGGAGCTTGTCCTCCCTGCTGAAGCCCTGCACCCTGCTCCTAAATGCTTTTGTAATTTAAAAGGGGGGGGGGGGGGGCGCAAGGAGTGGACAGTGTCGTCTTTAATAAAGCAGACTGATGGATACTTTTTTTTTTTTTTTTTTTTTTTTTTTAAACTTTGAGTTGGGGCATCTATTTTTACGGCCAATATTTCTTCCCATCATCTCGCATCATGCCACTTCAGCTGATGCTCACTCAGGGGGAAAACAATAACGTTTTCAAGCATCCTGGGAGACAAAAATATCGCCTGAGAAACACTCTACGCAACATTTTACAATCCCATCCCTTCCTTTGAAAGCGCTGGGCACTTCCGAGTCTTTCGTCTTCTGCCTTATAATATCCTCATTCATAAACGTCAATGCTGGTGAGAGGGTGGACGACAACACACACTGCAGTATCGTCTCCACTACAGTAAGTCAAAGCTAGCGCTCCAGATCCACAGAGCTGATTGTTCAGGAAGACAGTGGTGCTTTGAAAGGTCAGACACACAGCTATTGTAGAAGGACAGATCTCTATGGTTTCGTTATTCTGCAAATATTCTAACACAAATAAGGCTGCAGCTCATCTTTCTTTTCAATCTGAGTTGAGTTCTGTTTCTATATTTCAGAAAACATTTATGTCGCAGTTTTAAAGAAATCAGAGGAGAGGGGTGAGATTGTCAGGCTGGTGGTGCAGCAGGTCCATGAGGATTTAGCAGAAGTGTATTCTGTCCCTGACCACAGCAACCCCCCCCCCCCGCTCATCTTGTCCAACTTCACACAGGACCATAACCTGAACATGGACCTGGAACAGGGTTTTGGTCATGGTTAGAGCTGCAAGGGGGAGGTGGTTTGATTCCCTGGAGGACTGCACCAGGGCCGAGGTGTTGGCTGAGCTATGACTGGCTGTGTGCTGATGGAGAAACATGGGTGCTGGGGGACTGGGACATGTCTCTGCCGATGATTTCATTCACTGTGAAAAGAGAACAAACAGGAAAAACACACATTATTACTAACTCACTTTATAAATGTAGCTATATTAGCCTAATAGCAGCACATATTGCAGTAATTTGTCAGGAAGTTAGCTATGAGCTTACTGTTAATGAGTGCAGAGTGTATGCTTTCTATAATATGTTAAACTACTATTATTACTCTTTTCATCTGTTGTGTCACACAAAGAACATTATTGAATGCTGCAACCATCATTCAGAGAAGTACAAGTTTAAATAAATAATTCCTGACATTTATGGGATAATAATGGAGGGAGAAAAAGAGAAATAGAGACTCAGATTGCTTGAAAAGCTGGAAAGAAGTGGGAAGATTTCAATTAATTTAGAGTCAAAAAGTAACATCTGACTAGATATAAATCCACAGTTACTAGATTATTACTATTAGGATTTAAAAATAGAAGTTACGTATTTAAGTATAAGCAACCATCTGATGTCACTGTGATGGTTTAGTTTCCCCCGTTAGTCCTGAAGTGAAACAGAAGTACATGTATCTGACCAGCAGGGTGCAGTGTTTTCCCACTTTGAGTTCCTCACAACACCGAAAGCTCAAACTCAACCTGAGGAGAGCTCAAAGTGGAAAAACTTAAAAAACTGGCAAACCCCAAAGTTCACAGAGTCACAGCTCTGACTCGAGAAATAATCACTCCTGACAAACGAATGAGAGAAACGATTCCATTCACAGTTGTGACCTTTGTGAGAGTCCAACAACTGTTAGAAGTTGCCACAGCAGACTGACTGAGCTATAAACAGTCCTGTACGGGACAGGCCAGTCCATTACTTCATTACAGCTTTAATGGTGCTTCAGTACATTTCCTCGGGGCTGTTCACGGGGTTTGTGAGCATGGCGGAAAGGCCGTGTTGAACCAAAGCATGGTTAAAAACGTGTTGTTGAACTGAGAGTGGCACTCAGGCGCAGCGAGGTTAATTACTCCTCCGACTCAGTCAGAGCCGCCATTTAAATATACAACAGATAAGTCATTCTCTGCTGCTGTTTTTCAACCAGTGTGGGTGATTGTTTTGCATCTGCTGCAATCGGTATTCAAACTGGGACCACATGAGACACAGCAGGGAGCTAGTAAAAGTGCAGCCAGGAAGTAAATCAACTTTGAGTACTTTGACGTGGGGAGCAGGACACGAGGACAGAGAGACAGACGGTTTTTTTTATTGTTTGGGAAGTCATTGAAAATGCAAAGTTTCCTACTGACAATATGTGTGTATTTCCCCAAATGTTTTGGAGTTGACGTTACGGGTCAGAGAAACATTTCAGGCCGGGCAAACTGGTTTGGGAGGGTTCAGCAGAGACCTCTAACCCAGTTGGATACTGAGAGGTTTACAAGCAGACCTGTCTATACATGACAGTCCAAAATACAGCTCCTCTTTGTTTCCCCTGAACTATAAAAATACGCTTTCCCCCTTTGCTGTAATAAAGAAATGTATTACTGTAACTTAGACCATGAAAAATGAGTAGGGGGTGACTCAGTGAATGATGAGCAGCCGAGTGTGTTTCATGAGAAAAAAAAAAACGTATTGAAATTGGATGACACACAGATTGTAATAAAGGCGTTAAGAAGCAAAACTTTTTTGGAACATTTTTTGAACATTTTTATATTCGTAGGGTAACAGCATCATTTATCTCACGCTTATCATCCTAGTCTCTGTACGCTTTCTGGTGTATTGTTCAAAAATCTTCATTTCTTTCACAATCTTTGTCACAGGACTGTCAGTTCACTGAATTCAGCTGTGCTGCACCTTCTGTTGTTTTATTTGTGTTTTCTGCTGCTTGCTTTTGTGTCTGGCCACCATCACTCACATCATCCTGTTAGCGTGGGAGGCTCTTCCTTTCCCATGTCATCTATGTTCACACACACACACACACACACACACACACATCTCACTCTCACACACACACACACACACACACACACACACAACATCGCACTCAGCCCCACCACGAAGTGATGATGTTACACTGTGACTATCAGAGTAAACATTTATCTATGATAGACTTTTCTATAAGGCAATATACAAAACGTATTCTTAACTTTGTCCCACAACTCATTGTAAAATAAAACTATGATTGATGTCTACACACCCTTTTAAAGGCTGTGACCTTTAAAAGGAGACGTGGTAAAACTGAGCTGAGAAGAACAGCGTCTTACGGCTTTAAAGGACAACAGAGAAGCTCTATCACAACAAAGAAAAAACAAGTGAATGGGCTTCTTTGTCCACGTCACACATTCAGTGAAATGTAGAGATTTCTGAGATACTTTGTCGGTCACACTTAATACTTGAATCCAGAAGAATCCACCTAAAATGAGGTGGACTATGAATGAATGAACTATAATGATATGGATTAGGGTCTAAATTAAAGACTTATGATTAGGTTATTTAGTGGTTCAGTCAAAGGCCGATGTTTACAGGCTTGCTCAGTCTCCTGCACAGCTGAGGGCTGCTGTGGTTAACTGTAGCTCTCATGATTGATGGGAGGGAATGTGCTCTATCACCACAGGAATATGAGCAACCAGCAAGTGAGACATCAAGTGGGCGTTTGCAGAAAATACCACTTTCCGCTGTACTGATTAGATTATTGCAGAGGCAAACATTAAGCTGTAAACTCAGATAAACATGAGAGGAGAAAGTATAGAAGAAAATGCTTGATCAAAAAATCAAAAAATATATGTTTATCTCAGTTTGACTCTTTTGGCTCTCATTACAAACTGGAGGATGAGGAAACACATCTGTCACAATCACTAACAAGTGGCACTACAGTCAATATTACGGCTGCACTTATTGATCATTTCTTGACTTGTTTTGGGCCGTTTGGAACAAGACTGAACTGATTTTGTGAGTAAATTCTAATCCCAGTCCGTAAACAGGCAATAGAGAATAACAAACTGCATTTATTCTTTGTAGTTTCCCCTTTTATTGGATGTCAATATGTGAAGAAAAATCAAATGAAAATAATATTCAGGATTTGCAACCGTTTTTCCTGAAGGTAAAGCGTTTAAAACCTTAGAGAAAGCTTTTTTAATAAACAGAGGGTTAATTTCCCATATCGATGAGCAATCGTCTCTGCTTCGTATGCAGTCATTCATTTAAGGCTTGGGCTCCACACATCAATAAACCAGAAGTGAAAGGCAGCTTTGACTGAGGAGTTTCATATGTTGATAGTGTTTTCTCAGATTTACTCATATCGCTGAACACAGTGCAACGTCAAAGCCGGTGATTCAGCGTTGCCCGTTATAGTAAGTGTGGGTCTGAATTGCTCAGCCGGAGGGAGATCCTCTGCAGATGACTGGGAGGGGGGCTCCCGAATCAAAATATACATCTGCTACTACTACTACTACTGCTTTAAGGTAGTCAAGTAATCAGATGGAGCTGTCCCCTGTGGTTTAGATGGGAAATAAAATAATTCTTAATTCCTCCTTACACTCCTTACAACATGGTGTCAGATACTTGTTTCTAATAACGCTGCTTTCTTCATCGTAGATATCCCCACTAATCCTCCTTAGGACCAAGCTTCTTTGAGCCGAGGAGAGACAGAGGACATTCAGGGAAACAAAGAGACTTAGTAAAGTTGTCAAGTTGACAAGTAAGCCACTGAGTTTAAAATTAAAGAGAAGAAAATGAAGATATAACAAAAATCTCTTCTCTAAATATACTTGTACCCCCTTTAAAAATATTACTTAGTAGAAACAAACATATCCTCAAATCTACATCTGCTGAATATAACGATGTCCGGGACATATCCCCAAAATCTATCAGGAGACCACTGGGATTGGGTAAACTCACGTCTCTGTTTCCAAAGTTCATGTCAAAGGAGGAGAATTAAAACAGATTTCCATAATGCAAAACAGAAGTGGAACAGGCAGACGGACAGTCAGTACAATAAACATATCTACTGTCGAGATGGAAAATGGGGGATTGTCATAAAGCTGTGACACACAGAAAAAGGTTCCCTGACCCAGGCTTAAAAAGCATTACTCTGGCAGAGCAGTTTAAGCAAATAACTGGAAGATTGACTGACTGATTTTTGAGTCCAGCAAATGAAGACAACATGCCACAGTGGAAAACATTCGTGGAGAGGGAACAGAAGGAGACTTGGTTTGCCTTCAAGAGGGAATATCAAAGCACACAGTTTCCACTCGCAGGGCCCTGCAATGACACACACACACGTCTTCACGGAGCCTCAGGTACGAGACCAAATGTGAAGTAAAAATCCACTGAGCGATCACACACATTGGAAATAGATGATCATTAGATGGAATTTGTTTTGAAACCTTCCAGATCTTTCTCTGGCTCACTGTTTAAACTCTGCTGCTGCTGCTCTGTGATCGTGCTCTGCTTAATTTTAATTTCACTTTTGTCGTCACTGAGTGGGCGAGGGCACAGGGTACTCCGTAGAAAAATCTAAAGGTCAGTTTCTCAAAGTCACGCATATCTGTTAACTGTCTGTGGGTTTCCCATTTGATCTGACGGTAAGTGATTCACAAGACTTCTCTGCCTTTGCTGTGGAGACACACATCAGCAGGTGACCAAAAATACCGGGCTTTAAGAAGGAAATCACTCGAGCCCAAATGGCCGCATGGGGAGATCAGCAAAGCCAAATACAATGGTTAATAGGTTTAACGGGCAGACTAATCAGCAGAGAGCACGATGAGTCTCTGGTGTGGGCCTTTTCTTGCAGTGTAATGTGTTATGCATCGGGAGCCACAAGTTCATCTAAAATGATAGATGTTTTTCTAACCTGGGCAGAGTCTTGTTTAAAGGATCCAATTCGATTAAGACAAAAAACAGCCGGTGCAATTCATTATTATTTAAAAATTTAAAATTTAAATAATTTCCTTCAGTCAAAGGTTATGCCTTTCAAATATTTAATCGTATTTCTGAAGGTGAAATTAAACTTATATCTATATTTAGATTTATTTCAGGGCTTTTGCCTTTATTTTTTATTTAAACAGGA